CATGTATTTAGGGGAAAAATTGTCATTTCCCTGAAAAATCCAAAGGGTCCCTTTTATGTTTTAAACCGAGTAAAAAAATATACATCACGGATGACAAAGGTTACACTTATGTCTTATTGTTGGTATTTAGGAACAAATCGCCATGTACAAGTTACTACTTCTGTTCCTGAATTTAGTCTTCTTGAAATGACTCGGACCAGGTCACCTGATCCCCGTAAAACTTACAAATATTTAACATTATAATTCATTTGTAAGATTTCCTTAAAAAAATGGACATGTAAAAGGTGTTACATTGTTTAAACCAGGGGGTGGGGAGGGTGGGGGGGGGGGGCAGAGGGGGTGGACACGGGCCTTAAGTATGGGGCCGGGGGGGGGGGGGTATGCCCTCCATTGTACCCCCTCCCAGGTACACCACTGGTTTGAACCTACTTTTTATTAAATTTCTTTTGTATATTTTTGGGTTTGATATTGGCTAATTATGATACTGGAGATTTCCAGCACTGAACACAATTATTGGCGCATATAAATCACATCTGACTCCAACTGGCATTTCAAAAACCACAACAACATCCGTTTTGGAAACTTGTGGAAAGAATTTCCAACAACAGAGCGTCTGCGCCAAGCTGGCAAACAGCCAATTTCAGGTAACTGCCAATTTTTTTTGGTTTTTTTTGTTACAGTTCATCGGTGTTTGTGGCAATGACCGAGAGGCTCTGTGCAAGAACTGTTGGTGGCGCTTTGCGACCTACCCACAGAACCAGGGGAAGCACATGTGCGCGCTTAATGGTTTGAAAGCATTTAAAATCAAGCAGTTGGCATGAATTATGCTAAGTGCATGAGACCAATTTTCAACCAAATATACACAAAACCATGGCACACAATGGAAATGGCATCCGAGTTTGGACACACAACAGAAATGGTGCTTTAACATGCCCATACATTTGGGGGGGGGGGGGGGGGGTGGATTGAAACAAAAGTTTCGTAACATTTTTACAATTTTCTTTTTTTTTTAGCTACGGGTATGAGGGTGTTGATTTGTAGAAAGACCACACAAAGCAAGGTCAGGATTGTATTAAAAAAAAAAAATTGACAAAATTGAATGACAAATATAATTTCAGTCTTCATGGTAGAATGTATCAAACAGTGAAGTTTGCCGGTAATAACACCACCATGGGAAAATTTATCTCTTCTCTGAAAAAAAAAAGTTGTGTTAAGGATGTTTGCTGGATGTTTCAGACGGAATGTCTGTCTTCAGGACACTTCTGAGGACTAACCCTTTCCTTCAGTATATTTGGGGACTCCAGCAAAATACTCGACTACATGCACAATTCTGGTTTTGGTTTACATAATTACCGCTCAGATACTAAAATCGAATGGAAAGAGCATTCGTTTCTCAATGTTTTCGGAAAAAAAAGTTAGCTCGAGGAGGCTCAGGAAGGACTGACTCCTCGCTCAGTATACTCAGAGAAAAGAAAAAGGACTGTTTTACAATAATGGTTTTGGTTTAGATAACACCACTCAGACCCTTGCACTAAAGGTGCTAGCTATCTACTCTGGGCACCGTATAATGGTTCCAGCTTTTCATCAGTTACCAGTTTAGGTCATAAAACAATACCATAAGTACTGCGGTGAATAATCGCAGATAGTTAATAACTCTCAAACATTTCAAATTGGAGTCAGATGTGTTTACAAGAGGAGGCTAAGATGGATGCACTATGGGGCAGAAGGAAAGGGGTTAAACAGTGCAATGCCGATTTTTTTAATCGCTGGCCATTTCTCAAACGTTTGGCATTGTATTGAGGTTTGACTTTAGCCTTGGAACCTTTTTCAAGCTGATGTTCACACCAAATCAAATGACTCCAAGATTTTGACTTTTACGGCCTCAACTTATACTGGATTTGAAAAGAAATCGTTGGCCAAAAAAACAAGAAAATAACTTTCAATTTCCCACTTCATAAAATTTCCAACTATAGTGCATTGTAAAAAAAAAAAGACATTGACAAAAAAATTGGCAGACCACCAACATAAAGGCCGGTCCATGCTCGGCGCTAAAACGAACGCAAACACAAATTTGTGATGTCACGACAAGTCCTTGCACTGTGAATTCACAAACGTTGAACACATTTCAACTCCAGTGAATTTCGCAGCGAAAGTGTGATGTCAACTTTGCTTCGCATTCACAAAAGTCCTTGGTTGGGCACCGGTGCAACATTCAAGAGGGTGCAGGTTCGAATTCTGCTCTTGAGAATTCACGATCACATGATCAGATCCTGCTCTTATTTACTCTTAAATCTAATGAAAAACTGATCAACACTGCCTCATCGAGACACTGATTAAAAAAAACCCTGCAAGACCAGCAACCAAGACAGTTCAGTTGGTGAAGCAATGGAAGGATATATTCAAAAAGTTGCAGGTCAAAAACCCTTTCTTGTCAATTTTCATCGCAAAACATCTGCACTACGTTTCTTTTGACAACTTATGTCTCAAACCCTTAAGATCACAGGCAAAACAAGATGTCAGAGCTAGAGTAATACCAGGAAGTTTTCTTTTTTGGAAACTTTGGGTTGCAAGAGGCGGGTTCCAAGCCGGACTTCTTCAAAATTGAATTTCCTGAATGGGGGGTCGGAGAGAAGTGGGACGCTTTCAAACCCAAGGAACTAGTGCTAGGTCAGAAAAGTGCTTAGTGAAGGGGTCTTCTCAGCAGTTTGATGTGCTAAGCCAACTTAAGCCGAGAACCAGTTAAGCACTGTACATCGGGTGTCATATTTGGTTGGTAATCTACTAAACAGCTTTCTTTTCATTTTTTTTTTTACATTTGGTGCTTAAGACAGCTTCTCAAAATGAACTCCAGATACTGGCTGGGAAGGGTGAAATTAACGGTCAGGCATCAGATTTTTACCGACCGTTAATTTTGTCTCAACAAAAATGGACATGCTGAGTCAACTTTTGTACTTTTGGTGCAGTGCAAATTGTACATGTGACAATTCCATATTGGTTCAAGACTCTGCTGGTTCAATTTTGTCCTAGCAGTTTTTGTCTAATTCCACCAACTGCCTTGTAACAAAGTCGTTCTGGCAGACTAAGAACAGTCATTTTTCCTTTTGTACTTTGTTGATATTTATCATGAATTCAACTCTTTTGGGGGGCGAAAACAGACTGTTTATTTTCACCCTACAAAGTCTAGTGAGGTTTCTTCCAGGAATTTTTAAGTCGCAGAAAAAAAATATTAACAGCACAACCTTTCGAGATAAAAAAAACAAGACGTAAATTTGCGGAATGTACAAAATATGATATCTTGGAAGGTGCGGATGGACAGTTAGGCACATCTGGTTGGGGGGAAGGCGTAGGCTACTTAATCTTGACAAAACATGGGCAGTCACGAATGATAACAATTTGCCACCCCCATGGGAATGTGTTCAACTCTCTACCCACCCCCCTCATTTTGTTTCCGGGGTGAACAAAAAATTGGGTGAAGCTTCGTGAGAACGCAGAATAAAATCTATATTAATTGCAAACTACAAAAACACTTTATTAAGCAAATGAGATTTTCGTTTAAAATGGCAACGCAAACGTTGCTTGTTATAATTTTATTATGTAACTCATCATTAAATAAAAAATTAATAACACTATTTTTGCAGAAAAATTACTGTTTAGAGTAAAAAATAATGATAATAAATACGAAGAGTATTGCATAACTACAAATGCAACACTTCATTCTGTTCAATCCTCATTTTAGTTTAACACAACACGACTGAAACAAATCGGTACTGAACAAAAAGGGATTTTCCAAGAAGAAAACTTTTGCGACCCACTGGCCCAATTTAGTCAAAAGGGTCACAACGGTTTTATTGATAAACAACAGAAGCTATTTACTTTACTGAGGGCCCAACAAAAACTATGGAGTGCTGGATCAGTTTCGATGGCCGACACTTCATCCCGGCCTGACCAGATGATATGACCGAGGGAACCGAATGCTTGACCGATTGCCACAACCACGGTTTGACATTGATAAATCCTAACGATTATCTCGTCAGTGACGCGGTATCATATAGCCCCCACTGGAAAGGCCCCGCGAAGGTCTTTTGGGGGAGGGTAGGGTTTGGTGGGATTAGCGGGCCAAGCGACTGGGAAGATATACAGGCGGGCATTCCACGGGCAATGCCCTGTGTGTCTAGAAGAAAAACTGTTCGGAAATTACATTATCAAACAAAAGAAATAAAATAAAATACCCATGGACAAGCATTGGTCTTGTAATTTCGATATAAAGGAACTGCAGTCAAACACTTTTATAACAAGGTCCTTGGGACTTGACAAATTACCTTGTTAAAACAGGTACCTTGTACTAACAGTATTGGAAAATGAAGGAAAACAAAGAAAAACTAAGACTTGGGACCTAACATTTTGCTTGTTATAAGCAGGATCTTGTATTAACAGTGCTCTTCTTATCAGGGTTCGACTGTTGTCGCTTTACCTTAGACTGTTTGTCTGATGGTTTTTCATACTCTTGATCATAATTAAAAAATACCAAAAGAAGTCTCATTCAAATGTATAAAAAATCACTTATATTCAACTGTGTGCATCTTTGTTGACATTTTTGGTTTTTGCAATTACCACCTCATAAAGTTATGTGTAAAGCAGAAAAAGGCAGAATGGACAAGATAGTTGGCCTTCAAATGTTGCATCACCTGCTTTACAGCAAATTCAGGAAACCAAAGTAGGTCCTCTGTAACATTTTGTTTTGCTTTCTGTTCAATGACCATCTCTTAAAGTCTGTGTCTTAAAAGTATCGGAAATATTTCCATATACGAAGTTCACTCAACACCCTGTGTACAAACCCTATGAGATTGGACTGAAAAATTCTAAGTGTTTTCTAAGAAAATGCTTGTATTTTCTCACTGCTCAAATTGACTTTGATGACATGAAATTGCTATCTGGGGGCTTGTTAGTCAATACAGAGGAAAATTAGTGAACTTCGTATCTTTCCAAAGTATCTTAAGAGCACAAGTGGAATACTTTAAATATACGACACCAGTGTTAAACATTATGTTACAAGTTGTATTTCTCTATAAAACAAAATAAAACTGCTGAACGTTTCTAATAGAAAGTCATGTGTTGCATCTCAAAAGTCATGATGGTGATGATGAAAGTGACGATGGTGGTGATAGTGTGATGAGGATGGGGATGGTGATTGCCTACCACATGATAACAGGATTGCTCTTGTATTTCTCATAGTCTTCCCGTTTGAAAAACGACAACTCTGTTTCAGACTCTGAAAGAAGCACATACAGAAAAGAATGGTAATAAATGAATGTGCTTGATAACAAAAAATAAAAATATTTTTGAAAAGTTGTACAAGCCCCTGCAACTACAAAATAAAATGATGCTTGTTGTAAAAGGAATATCACAATGGATTTCAAGATTCCAAATTTGTCTGGCACGATTGGAAATGAACAGCATGCAGTATGCATGAGAGATCGTCTCCCGTTTATAAATATCAGAAGCTCAATGATGCTTAATTTCTTTGAAAGTGATCAACTTATTTTTCCATACCACTACAGAGTGCTATTAAGCACGGAGCTAAATCTTGTGACTTAAGTTGCGATACCTACCAACTTTGGATTCTGAGAGAGTCGTGTCTTCACGGAGTATCAACTGATCGTCGTTCTCGGTGTTAATAGCTGGATCACTTGTCTAGAAATGAATCAAATAAATGATTGCAATCAATGGCCTTGGAACTTTTCTGAGAGCGTGGGCGATGATAATCTTTTATTAAAGGCAAAATGGATAACTTTCCACTGACAGTTGACAGCGAATCAAAAAATTGTGAAACACAGAGGCTTAAGTTGGTACTCAACATTAAAAAAAAAGTAAATTTCTGATGTGTTCTCAAAAATTTTCTTAACAAATTCAAATATCAAAAAGAGGCATAAAATGGACAGAATAAGTTTACCTTGGCTCCAAACGCTTTGTGCTGGATCTTGAACGTGTCATAGTTGTACGTTTTAAACGGGGGAGGAAGTCCAGCTTTCGTCTTGATGTCTGTTGGGGACAAAATTACTCTTACTTCCAGCATGTATCTGACACAAGATGAACGTCACTACAAAACTGCATTGTCTTGTACACAAGATACAGAAGCTGAGTCTGGTCCACTACTAATCATATCGTAAGTCACATGTCAGGTCACATGTCAGGTCACATGTCAGGCTACAAGTAACAAGGGATGAACATTGACAAAAAAATACCTTAGTCTCACTTTTTATGTGAAAAAGTCTAGATCTGAATTGAGATAAATGACCTTTGATTGACTGTTGATTGTGAAGACTCGTGAGAACTTGTCAGGAATTGACTACAAGTCGGCAGGGATGGCCTTAAGCCGCCCGACTATTGTTCGGAGCAACCTGACTATAGTTGGAACTCCCCTCAACTATAGTCTGGATTGTCCCAACTACAGTCGATATGGTGCTCTTGTTGGGGCGAACTATTAATAATGAAAGTCACGTAATTGCATGCGTAGGTTCGGATCGTATGATGTTAAAATACCATGTGACCATCTGGTTTCCCCACGATCAGCCACCATTGCAGTAGGCAAGCGTTTGGTTAGCAACCACATCATCGTGCATTGTGAAGTAGAAAGTAAGACTTATTTTAACTTAAAATATTATCGGGAATTCTTTATCAAATGGCATTGGGTGGCTTGTGTGTAAAGCGTTCGCCTCTCACCACCGTGGCCCTGGTTCGAATCCCGTCCGCGGACCATTACATGCCATAAGCGAGTAGAGTTATGCGTTGGTTCTCTCCTGTGCCACGAGGGTTTTACTTGGCCCTCCGGTTTTCCTCCCTCCGGAAAAATCTAACACTTTTGATCTCGGGCTGTGCTCCGTGGTCGTATATGGGTCGACATGGCTGGCTGCCAAAGGCGCCTTTGCATGCCAGCGGCTGGACCACATTGTAGCCGCATCCTTCGCAATTCAGATTTCTCAGCTGTGAGCAAGGATGATTAGCCACCCAAACTATTATTGTTATTATTTATAACGGTCACTACCAGTGTAACTTAGGCTGTCATAATCGTACAGGCTAGCACAGGGTGTAGGCTCTGCGTTTTTCTCAGAGTTTTGCCATCCGTCACAGTTTTGAGGGCATGCCTGCAACTTACTACGCGCAGCTGTCTGTAATCTTTGCCTACTACAATGGCGGCGCTAACTTTTCAGTACCCGAATGTAGGCCGATGGTCTCCCCCATCCTCATTTTTGCGGATGAGGGCAGTGCACGGAGCCCCATACCAACCTGTTTTAACAAATTCTGCGAATTTCTTGACAGTCATGTCCGGCGTGATGTCCTTGTACACCACATGCTTGATGTTTCTGTGCTCAAAGGATCGGATGAGACGAACGGTCAGGGTGATCGAAGATGACTCTGTTGCCATGGCGACTGATGATTACACAAGTCTCAGTGACAGGTGGCACCTGGACGACTTATGGCAATGCATGGCACTTGTATGATGTAGGCCTAGTGTCCGAGAAAACAAAAAGAATAATTTTGTTTAACTTGAAGTTTAGCTCGTAGGTTAATGAAACAGTTAAAACAGAACAAATGAAATGACAAAATATTGACAATACATCCTCGATGTACCAGTTTTTGAGGGTGTTAGGATTTACTTCAAGTAAGAGAAAAACACCGACATAGCCATTGGTTTCCAAATTTTCTGGGTCCAACCTCGAAAAGTTGATGCCTCAAAAACAGGTATCCACGGACGATACATGCAAAATTATGCAAATTAAAACCAAAAAAAAGGAGGCGGCCGGGAAAAAAGAAAGCAGGAAGGGACGAGGAACTGGTTCATTTTTTTTACTCGGCCTTATTCGTGGTACAACATTTCTCTCAACAAACAGCAAGCCAATGCTGAACTCTTGACCAATCAATCATGCCTAGGCCTATGTTTGCAATTGCAATTTGCATGGAAAAAACACAACACACACATGCACACAATTTCACAAAACAAACACAAACAAACATGATAATGCACAAAAAGGTCAATGAATAAATAATGTATGTTCAAATTACAGGTTAGCCTTAGTTTAGAATTCAAAAAGTAGAATATAAAGATGTTCTTCGGCATCACCGCGACGTTGCAGACGACATCAACATTTAGTTCTCCGGAAGTTTTCTTTTCACAAAGCATGACGGTCTTAAGCAGGGTGACCGTAAGACCATGGCCAAATTCTGCTAAATGCACTTAAAAAGTATGTCAGATTTATCAAAAATCTGCCAAATTCCCCAGAATTACTCGAAATACACTATAAACACTTAAAAATCACATGCAAATGTTGTAGTATCGCCTTAATTAAAGTTCAAATTACATTGTAAACAATCTTTGGTCACATAAAAATGTAATGAAATTGCGTAAATTTCAGGGAAAATGCGGTTGCATCACGACAAAGTCCGGTTCCCAGTGAACCTAAGCACCGGACCAGCCAACCTGTCCATTATGCAAGGGTTTGTTTGCAAAGACTGAAGCTTTTTTAAACGAATGTGCCCTTTATTTTTTTTTAATTTGCTATGTTTTTCTGTCAAATAACCATTTTTGCAGAATTCTGCAAGAAATCTGCCAAAAAATCCATTCTGTCAAATTTTCTGTCAAACTCTATTTTTACCAAAAAATCTGTCAAAGTTAGCCGAAAATCAGCCAAAACGGTCATACTAGTCTTAAGACATTTGGTTTGTCTTATTATCTGGAAGGGGAATATGCTTTACTTAAGTTAAATACAATTTTAAAAATCATCTATATGAAGTAAATGTAATAATATATGTTTGTGAGTATCTTAAATAAATTGATAAAATGTAAGGTATCGATAAATATTTGTTTAATTATGCTTACACGGAAGTTACACCGATATCTATACTTCCCTCACTCTTTATCCTTACCTAAACAGTTTTGGTACAGTCCATGTGGATTTTATTTCTCAAAATGGCGTCGCACCCGTACATGTCGCCTGTCCAACAGCAGAGTCGTTTTCCGCCTCCAAATCAGCCAGTTATGAGGAGCTACCTTCAAGGAAACTATCCGGTAAGTGTCACTGGACGTTTTATTTTAATATTCATTTATTTCTCCTCTGTTTAGTTGACTGAAAGGGAAGGTACGCTGATGTTTTTACACAAAGTATTCCGCAACCAAACCACACGGGTTGTGCATTGAACAAAGGCAAAACATTACATGCATTCGTGTTGAACTAATTTCGTGATATTTTTCGGTTGCCCAAATTCCCAAATGCCAATCTTTTTGATACGAAGGCCTACCTGGAAGAATGTTGCAACCTGACGCTTCTTTTTTCTTCATATATCATCTAAATGAAGGTCAGTCATTGCAAAAAATGATAAGACATGAAATTTGATGAATCTGGTGCAAAACATTTCCAATTTTGTAGCCTAATGTTAGGAAATACTTTGAAAAAATGCACTCAACCCTCTGCTCCCTCCATAACATTAGACTTTGTACACAACCGAAGAAGTGGCGTCAGGATACTACATTCTTTCCGATACGAGCACAACGCAAACAATTTTTATTGCTTTATCTTGCAGAAATGTGGGTGATCATGGTGATTGTGTAGTTATGCGTTTTTTCTTTATTTGCGTGTCTTGGATTGTATTTGGGCCCAATCTTTAGGTTTATCCGTTAGAAAAAAAACCTTTAAGTGAAAAACCATATAAATATTCATTATTGTACTAGTACTAGTGTATTCATACAAGCGATTGATGAACATGTCCGTTGACAATGTTATTGCAAAAATATATGTAGCGTTTTACTCTTTCATATTCCACATCTGCTTTGTTTTTGTGTGAGACTATGACATGTCTTAAGGGGTACAAATGTATATATGCTAAAATACATGCAAAAGCATCTATCGTAGTACTTAATTTTACATCCGTAATAACCTTCACATTCTTTGTTTACATGCATTTGTGCAGTAGGTTTATGTACTCTATCCCTTCAGTGACATGCTCAGCTCCCACAATTCTCAAACTTAACTTTTCATCAATCACTAGACTGACACCATTGTCTCGACTAACTTGATAATTCACCTATCCATCCTTTGACTCTCTCACACCCAACCCCCCTATCTTGAAAAGGACTCTTCTAAAGTGTCCACCACTGGTCCCACCACATCACATTCCTCTTCTTCTTCAGGATCTACGTCCTCCTCATCATCTTCTTCAAAGCAGGTACCGGAAATGCCGCTTTGAATGTACCCATGCATCAGCTTTCCAAAAAAGAAAAAGGCATTCTATGGTTGTTAAATCAAAATTCCCAATGGCGTGGTTTTTTTTGTTGATCTTACAAAGACTTACAGAATGCGTCACTGTGAAGGAACCAATTGTAATGTCACATTTATGTACTGGAACTTTCGAGAGACCTCAAATTCCATTCAAAGTTAATGGTGACATGGCACGGTTATGCCCAACCAGACCATAGTCCCAACTTAAGCTGTGATCGTCCCAACTTAACCGGGACCTTCCCAATAAGCTGTTCCAGTTAGAACACTGAAGTTGGGATAGTCCCAACTGAAGTTGGGACTGACGGTCTAATTGGGGCGTAAGGGCTCTACCTCATAGAATGCCTTTTTGTCCTGTACACAAAGCAAATGAAATATTTATACACATGGAATTACACTGTGTGGAAAATTGACATTCATTTGCAGTGTGTATGGTTAAAAAAAAAAATGCATGCAGGTCATGGTACAAGCTACAAATGGTCTTGCTTTTGATTTCTTTGTTTTCTTGCTTTACCCGAGAAACGTTTGAAAGGAGTAATCGTGGGGAATACTTTGGTTTTTTGTTTTCACCGAAAGACAAGAATTGAAGCAAAAGCCGCAATAAACTTGTTCAGTTGTTTTGTTGATATGCTTTTACAACTAGCAACATGCAGCTCCATGCCAAAGCTAACACAGGTCTGAAAAAATGTGAAGTGATGTATGTATTAAAAATGCTGGATATTGTGTTTTGTGTCTTGCGCATTAATTAAAAGCTGCAAATAGCTTCTTTTTTTAATAAGAAATGTGCATTGTTGCCTACAATAAAAAAAAAATGTGAAAATTGTATTAACAGACAGCAAAAAGTATGAGTGATTTCATTTGAGCATAAGTTGTCGAAAGTATACTGTTGTTGTAAAATCAATGTTTGTTTCGTTTCTGATAATTTAGTTTTATTGGTTCGGATTTGTCACATCTCTGAAATACTGAAGTTTGAAAAAATTTTGTGTTGAGAGGGATTAAGTGAAAGCACATGTACATTAGGAAGATTTTGATATAAGAGCACACTTTGTTTTATTTACCAAAATGCACATGCCACTGTACATAGTATACATGTATATTTGTATTCATACATTTAAATGTCGTCTTTTTTGTTTGTTTTTTGGAATTACTTCTCTGTTAGCGATCAGCAGCATAATCTACAACAGAACACTGTATTTTAAAATAAACATTTGCATTAAATTAAATGTAACTGTGTAAAACATACATTCAGTCCAAATTTGTAAAATTTACATGTATCTGATCAGAATGCTTACAACTGCATTTGTGTATAAGTCCATCGGCAGTCCACATACATGTACACATTTCTATTATCACAATCAGTTTTTATGTAATAGAGCCCTGTACAAAATTTACAAATGTAACATAATATTATTTACAAATGCATAAAAATATCAATTTCGTACTTACAGAAACTTTGGTATATATATGTTTAAAGGGGTAATGCCCTGGTGTGCGTAGTTATAAACAAATAAATAATGGAGGCAGGAACCAGACTAATGAAGTTCATTGAGTTAAACTGAACTCTTGGAAGATGTTTGCAGTTACTCATACATGTGTAAGTTGCGTAGTTCTTTGTGCACATTTTGCTGAAATCATAAAGCCCGGTTCATACTTCATGCGAATGCGAATGCGAAACGAATTTGACGTCATGAAACATTCTCTGCGAAATTCGCCCGAGTTGAAATATTTTCAACATTTACGAATTCGCAGCGCGAAGACTTGCCACGACGTCACAAATTCGCGTTAGCTTGCGCTTTTGCGGAGAGTATGAACTGGGCATAAGGGTGAACGGCAGTGCAGCACTACAAACTTGATTGCTCCAGATTTCTAGGGATATTTTGTACTCTTGGACACTGTTTGAAATCGTAAAGCAATCATAGAATGTTAGGTAGACTACATGTATTGACATTTGTTGTTAGCTTGATTTGCTTTGCGAAGAACGAACAAGCAATTATTTCCAATTTGACCATATTTTTCTGGTGAGATTCTGGGTTGCGCCAACCTTTGCCCATTATTTTTTGCTGCCTTTTAATACTGTTTCCCCTTCGTCTGTTTCACTCAGACGTCACGAACATAAACAACTTATAACAAATACTTGTACTTGCAAGTTTATACATTAAACATGTTAAAGGGGCACTAGGTCCTGAAATCCCTGAAAATTTTATGTTTTGGATTGCTCACTTACCGGTAGCCTATTTCAAACATCTGGTTGAAAGGAAACCAACCTAATGTCTTACCGTTCCCGAGAAAAGACGAACAAAACCCCACTTGTTTACATCGGACATGACGGAGTACGAATACGTTTTTCGTGTCGTTCTCAGTGTACGATATACACGTTGTGTGTCTCGGGAACAGCGGTGACCAATCACCAATGCAAAAAAAAAAGAAGGTTTCTTCAACGTCCGCAAAAGGCGAACACTTTACGAATGAAATCACAACTAGCATCCAAACAGCTCGAATTTATGGGGTTGCAAAAGTGGGCGCCGAATTTCGTTCTCGCGCGCATAATACAGGAATAACACAAAAACGCCCAGTTTTGAAAGGATAGTTGTGTGGATGTTTATATCCTACTTTTAAATGTTATTTCCGATTAACATCATCTCGTTCAAAGCGCGGTTTGTAGCCCAATTGGGCTGTTCCAGGACCTAGTGTCCCTTTAACTTAAATAACCTTGCGTATTGGTATTCTAATTTACACTTTGTTTCCCCAAATGTTGGAATCGTCAAAAAGTATCTTGTTGGACAGAAGGTAGCGCGAGAGTTCAATGCTCTGGCAGATCTCTCCTCTTGGCGATAATGTTGTAAGGTTTTGGCACCAAGTCAAAGTGGATGTCGGGCTGTAAGTGAATGTCCTGCGTTGTCTCCGAAGGCAATTCCAGCCTGAATCTCTGGAGGAGACAGGCGCTGAGCACGAAGATCTCCGACTTGCCAATGTTCTTCCCCAGGCACGCCCGCTGCCCCGTGGAGAACGGCATGAAGTAGGGGAACTCCTTGAGACTGCGCAGCTTCCCGTCTCGGTCCAAGAACCTGTCGGGGTCGAACTCGGAGGGTTTGTGCCAAACGTTCTGGTCGTGGTTGATGGCCCAGAAGTTGGCCATCACTTGTGTACCTGTGATACGACGAAGCGAAAACGGCAAAAGATTATTTTCAAAGCTTTTGTTCCACTGCAAAGAAGGACTTCTGAAGTGTTTCTTGGAGTTTTCTTGAAATAATGCGTCAAGGGAAAAGTTTTTTATCATCTTTAGAATCTTCATCTGGACGCCAACAGAATATCTGAATCAGTGACGATTATTTTTTTTCTTGAAAAAAAATTCTCTTGATTGATATTTTTGACTGGTGAAATTGTTTATAACTGATGGAAAATATTAACCTTTTGGAATGTAGAACCCGTCCACTTCTGTGTCCATAACAGCTGCATGAGGAACTCCCAACAGTGATAAGGAACTGTATCTTAGCGTTTCATAGATTGTTGCACCTGCAAAGACCAATAAAGAGGAATTCACAATAAAATCACTAGTCTAGTACAACATCATTCCTGTGGCCATTTATGATTGCACGAACACTAAACTCATTAGCCAATCATAGAATTGTCAGAAATTTGCTTAATTAAGAAAACTGTGCTTTTGTCATGGCTGGAATTGAAATTTAAGGATGAAAGCTAAAGAAAGGTTTATGTGTACTTACTAAGAAGTGGCAGAGTTTGTTCGTCTTCGAGGGATGGAAGTCGACTTCCGATAGTCTCGTCAATTTGAGATTGGATTCGTCTCTGCACGTGAGGAAAAGCGGCCATGTACAGAAACACCCACAACAAGGCATTCAGCACTGTGTCTGTACCTATGAAGATAAAACACATTATGATTAACATTGTTTTTTTTATTCTAAGCAACAACATACTGATTTCTTTCTCATAATTGCACCGTGAAATGTAATGACAAAGAAATATATACTACAATTTATGTTACAGAATTTGAAAATATTAGGAACGATTTTGTACTGTTTTGTTTGTGTAAATTTCCATTTGTTAAAAACGACAAAGAATCATTGAATTTAAAAAATACATGTAGAATTGATTACTGCAATCGGAAATAATATCCTCATAACTTAGAACTTTACCTGCAAAGAAAATGGTCCAGATGTTGGTTGTGATGTGTTCCGGCGACAAGAGTCCCAGTGTTTGATCATCTTCCTCCCTCTCCGCTTTCTTGGCAACTCGGATGAGCGCATCTACCATGTCTCTAATCGTCCCTTCCTCGTACGTGTCAATGTGCTCCTGGTACAGCGTCAGCATGTGACGGTCTCGCTTGTCCTTGGCCGTCTGGAGTGCGTCCATCCAGGGGTTGGGAATAGTCCTCAACCAGGGGATCAGGTTGATGGGATGAACTGGGGACACCCCCTTCATGATGTCGTGGGAGTAGCGGAAGATCTCCTGGAGCTCTGCCTCTCCCTTGTGGTAGCGTTTCCCGAAGGCGATGTTGTAGAGCACGTTGAGGGAAGCCAGATTGGTGTCCTCGCGGGGGTCGAAGGGTTTACCGGCGTACCCCTCAAAGGTCCGGATGAGACTCTCAGCTTCGTCGGCGAGTTTGGCCCCGAGGCTGGTGTTGCTGATGACCCGGAAGGCGTGCTTCATGACCTTGGTGTGGATCCGGAAGTGCTGCCGGTCCGTGCAAGCCATGAAGCCCTTGCTGAGGAAGAAGTCGATGGAGAAGATCTTGGGACGGGAGGTGATGGCGTCCCCGCTGTAAGCCTTCTTGACCGTCTCGGCCTGGTTGAGGATCACTACCCGCTCCCGGCCGAACTTGATGCTGAACGTGGCGCCGTATCTCTGGGCTAATTCAGTCAGGGACAGATGCAGCTGCTTGGGGTTGAGCTGGAAGATGTTGCCCAGGAGAGGGAGGGACCTGGGTCCGGGAGGAAGATGCAGGACCTTGTAGAGGTGCTGCTCTTGGATGAAGTACAGGAGCAGGTAGATCAAGACTGTTAAGGCAGCGTAGAGCAAGACAGTCAGGATCATCTTGTGTGAGGAACGTTGAAAAACAAGTACTGCACAAAGAGAACACAATAAACAAATGAATAACAAAGAGACTCTTGTAACAACAGTATAATAAAAAAAAATAGATAAAAGAGAACCTCACATCACTAGCATTGATAAATGAAAGTACTTCAAAAGTGCACCAAACAAGTGTGACATAACGGATAAAATACAATCAACTTAAGAAAAAAGAATTGGTCCAATTCCTTCAAAAAAAAATTCACCAAAATTATATGTAAATATTATTTTTTTATCCTTTATCTTCTAATCTGTGGAGAAAAAAAAAATGGCAAAACAAGAGCAACCTTTCAGTAAATTACAAAACGTAAGGAAAATCCTCTCACCTTAAAAGTCTTGCAGTTGTGTAGATTTATCTCGATTCTCGACGAAGTATGCGATTGCAAAGAACCTCGTTGTAACAAGCTGTAAGTTCAACCACTCGGTTAGTTTAAGATGGTCAGAAACCAAATGGATGCTTTCCCTTACAGGAGCAGTTGCTTGTGGATGCACTCCCCCAGTACTCAATCATTTTTAAGTTAAAGAGGGAGGAAGCCCCCGGGTCCTGTGTAAACCACAGCCTCATCATCATCCAAAAAATCTGTAGGCGGTGCCAGGGGGTGGGGGTGATGGGCTGATAACCACTGAGTGACATTTTGTTGAAGGGGTGTTACCAACAAGTGCAGGGTTTGAGCTGCGCCGGTGAGTGGTGGTTGATGACTTTGTAGTAGAAACACGTGGAAAGGTCAGGGTCGGGAATTCCTCGGTCGAGTCACTGGTTCCTGAACGTACAGTCCCTGAACACACACACACACGTGGGTGCTACAAAGATTTGGCATCATTTCTCAATGCTGGGGCTTTGTACAGTGTAGCTTTACAAGGCAGGACTAGTGGCTTTACTTAAGGTAACTTGCAGACAGGGGGAAGGGGGGTGGTCCCTTGCCGACCAAGAGAACCTATTCAGGTGTGCTGAGTGGGGTTAGAAATTGAGGTGTACATGTTCATACATGGGGCTCAGACTAAGTCCCCCCCCCCCCCCCTCCCATGGAGGGTGGCAGGACACTGCCTGTGCAGGGGGGATTAGGAGATTGACAGATTTGGGGATTAGAGGGGATTTACCAGACTTGTATCTTGGGGATCTATGGCCTCGGGGATCGGTCTGTTTTGTGGCTCAGGTCGGAGCCTCAGGCAGGTGTGGACAATTTCTAATTTCATTTTTCGTTTTCATGGAGAAATTTTTGTTTTGGTAGAGGCAGCACTGTATTTTCAAAGGAGCCAATAAGAAGGATGTTTTCATTAGTATGGAAGGTCCACTCTTTGTTTTGTTGATCTTGGTAGAGACGTGTATAGATCAGTTCATACATGTATAGATCAGTTCATGTTAGTCCGATGATCAGGACCAGTTATGTTTTAACAGATGATGAGTTTGTGTATTTTGAGTTTTGATCTAAGGAGAAATGTAGGGGCAAAGATAAATAAGGCCAACAAACTTGAGAATTGATCAACTGATACCTTTAACTATTCATTGCATGTTATACTCGAAATATAACACAAAATATGTTAAGATGAAAAATTGCATTACATTGTACAAAACCTTTCACATTGGTAATTTGAGAGCATGCAAAGTTAGGTTTGGCTTAGTGCCATGTTTATTTGTTCGTACGTTTTTGTTCTCTTAACTTTTTTTTACACAATGTAACAAACATAGCCTTGCAAGCACGCTTGGAGGGTTTTTTTTGCCAAATACCATTGAGGAAGCAGATGCCCGTTCACACATACTTCCCCCGAAATTAAGCATTCCTGATCCAAAATTGCACAAAGACTTTTAAAAGTAAAACTTATCATGCTATATTAACCTGTAGATAAACTTTAAAGGTACTATACTGTATATTACAACTTTTGCTTTTGCTGTAATTTTCAGAAGTGGATGGATTTGATAGTTAGCACTTTATAGCAAGTATTGTTACACTGATCTGTTTAAAGTTTTGAGTTCATAGATGCTGGAAAAACCAAGAAGCAAAAAATAATTTGGTACATGTACATTGGAGACAGTATTAAAAAATAAAGTTTTTTTTCCAACGATGGTCGATCGACCATCATTGGAAATTGATACAAAAATTCCTCCTTTCTTGAAAATGACAGCATCCTGATTTCACAGGATGCTTGAGACTATTATTCACTTACAGTCAAGTACGGTATTTCATAATAATTTTGTAGTTTTGTTTTTTGATGTTTACATGTCGTACATTACATCTGCCTTTAATTACAATGTAAGAGAATGAGACAGCATTGTTAACCATTCGCTCAGTTTGATAGTAATCTCTCTGGCTTTCTTGACCTTCATACTGTTCATGGATTTGTTGACTTTTGCACAGTGAAGCAGATGAACATGACCAAAGTTTGTTGCGAATGGGTAATTTTCCAGCTGAGGAAGAAGCATGTCTGTGTTGCATGAAGAAAAAAATACCAAACAAGTGCTCTCAAAAATGGCCACCATGTAGGATTTGTACAACATGTACATGTTCTGAATCTAAGAAAATGAACTTGATGTATGGATTGTACATGTATGTGTACTTTGAAGTTTGAAATGCCTAGGAGAAATTCTGGGTTTAACTTTCATAAAAGTTTCCTTGGTCTATGGTAAGACATACATGCAGGTAATTCTCGACAGTTTGGTTTTGCATTAAATGTATGCCGTTTTGTATTCAATGCTTCAGCATGGTTCGTGTAATCAGAAATTTGTGATTTCTGGTGTAGTGAAATACTGCCCTCTTCAGTTTGCTTCTTGTGGTGCAAAGAAAGACTGGTTCAAGTGTGTTGCTGCCCTCTATCTCTTGGGTTTAGTCAGTTTGCCAGTATTTGACACAAGAGGGCAGTATACACACTTAGTGGTGCCCATCATCTGGGTGTAACTTTCAAATGTAAAAGTTTCCTTGCTTTTATAGTGAGACATACCCGGTACATGTACCGGTACATGTGACTATTGCTCAACAGTATGCTTTTGCAGTGAATGTATGCCTTGTTGTATTCAATGGTCGAGCACTGTGTGTGTAATCAGAAATTTGTGATTTCTGGTGTAGTGAAATACTGCCCTCTTCAGTTTGCTTCTTGTGGTGCAAAGAAAGACTGGTTCAAGTGTGTTGCTGCCCTCTATCTCTTGGGTTTAGTCAGTTTGCCAGTATTTGACACAAGAGGGCAGTATACACACTTAGTGGTGCCCATCATCTGGGTGTAACTTTCAAATGTAAAAGTTTCCTTGCTTTTATAGTGAGACATACCCGGTACATGTACCGGTACATGTGACTATTGCTCAACAGTATGCTTTTGCAGTGAATGTATGCCTTGTTGTATTCAATGGTCGAGCACTGTGTGTGTAGTCAGAAATTGTGATTTCTGGTTAAGTGAAATACTGCCCTCTTCAGTTGGCTGCTTGTGGTGCAAAGAAAGACTGGTTAAAGCGTTTTGCTGCCCTCTATCTCTTAGGTTTAGTCAGTTTGCCAGTATTTGACACAAGAGGGCAGCATACACACTTAGTGGTGCCCATTCTCTGCTTTAAAAGTGTTCATGCGCTCAGTAGACCTTGTACCCGCATTGTAAGATTACTGGGTCTCTGCGCAACTGTAGAGGGCGCTGTGAGCCACCTGAGGTCTTTGTGTAATCATTCACACATACCGGTACCTACCGGTATTTGGAGTCTTGGCCCATTTCCATTAAGTAAAACCTACACGTATGTAAATAACTAAGTTCAGAGGGCGCTCTGTGCTGTTACACATGCACAAATCACAGGGAGCCAGAAAAGGCAGGGTATATCCAGATTTTGAATGGAACGGTTGGGAACTAGCTTAGAAATTGCACTTTTCCCACTCTACCTGATTCGTCTTGTTTAATAATAATAATAATAAAAAATGAACTTTTCAAACTGATTTTCTGATTTGTGTGGAGTGCTGTGGCCTCGTGGTTAAGGGCACTGGATTCGTGGTCTGTGGGTAAAGCTGCTGGTTGTGGGTTCGAGTCCAGCCGGGGTCATGGTGCGTGTGCCCTTGAGCAAGGCACTTTGTCACTCGTTGCTTCTCTCCACCCAGGAGTAAATGGGTACCTGTGAGGGCAGAGATGGTTATTGTGATTGAATTAGCTTGCTTGCGCTTAACAGGCAGCATCGAGCTGTATACTCCCCAGGGAGCTGAGATGGTAATTGGAATGTTTAATTGGCCCAATGATCAGGGGTAATAATAATACTGTAAGCGCTGTGATTTAGTTTACTAAAAAGAGCATTCTTAAATGCCGATTATTATTGTTATTATTATTTGTGTCGGCATACTTGGGAATTTTCTCAGAGATTATATGTTTTCTTTCCGATCTTACAACAGAGGGTTACTTTTTTACACACACAATCAATACAAATGAATGTTCACACACGGAATTCATATATACTGTACCATAGTTACACACCCTATTTTTATTCACAAAAAGTCAAAGTCCATAGTGAACATATAAATGATTACCACCTTTTTTGTCTAACTTTTATAGTGAAAAGTGTGAATACATACGTGTACATACATGTACGTGTGTATACATATAAATTTATGTTATCATGGTTAAAATGAGAGCTGAATTTTATGTAGACAACGAAAACCAAATTACAGAAATAAATACAACAAAATAACAACAATTTCACCAAAACACACTATTATACTGCATATACTTTGCATAATGTCAAAATCAAATTCCCATAAACCTGGCTTGCATTTATGCCAAGCCTTGCCCTCAAAAATTATACAAACATTTATTGTCAAAATCAAAACAGAACCGATTAACCCTTCAAAGTAACTGATGAAAAATTATACACCGAAAGTCACTAAAATGGAGTAAAAATGTTGAGGAAATTATACATAAATTACTCACTGTTAAAATCAAAATAATCGCCAAGTACCCAGCTTGTCCTGATGCCAAGCCTTTAAAAAAATAAAAAAATTGATGTTTTTTCCAAGATAGATTAAAACAATAAACCCTTAAATGATGACAATGATAGACACAGAAAGTCAGTAAAATATGATAAAAAAAAAATCGTTGAGGAAATCTTAACGTGAATAAATTGTGTGCAGTACATAAGGAATTTGTAAAGGAATACATTTTGCTAATACAATTCAATTCATACAAACCTCAAAATATATCCCCACCAAAAAAATGAAAACTTTCATTTGAAACACCGGATGCTAAAATCTCTTTCTGTATATTGAAACAATTGTAAATATATTTAATGAACATGTACTTTCATCTGTTATTTTTTATTTTATTTTTTTTGCATTGGTGAACAGATCTGAAGTTTGTGTTCAGGATTATTAATAGGGTATTACATACATGTAGTTCAATTTACAATAAATATATATATGGAAAATTCTCCTGATTTAAAATACATGTGTTAAGGTTGCTAAAATATAGAATATATACAATCTGTCTAATGACTACACCTTTTCTTACAAAATTAATTATTATTCCCCACCGCTGAGTGTAAATATAACTACATGAATGTTTGTTTAAAAGTCGACAAAAGTTTGAAAGCAAAACATTAACACAATTTCTTCCATAAATCGATATATCTTTGCAAACATTTTTTTATATCACTATATCAGGAAATCAAGAGGTATTTTTGGGAAATTTAGGTGATGAACGTTTTTGTGCAGAACTTAATTTGATTGATGTGTATTATACAATACAATGGTTGCATTTAGGTTGCCACGTTAGTTGTTGAACAAAAACTAGCAATCGTGATGTTTGCCTTTCTTTCTGAGGATAAGAAAGGTAAGCAATCGTTACAATTTTTTTTTTGTAGTAAGGCCTCGGTATTTGAGCAGCCATATTTATCAATTATGTTGAATATTTCTTTTGTAAAAATAAAATACTGACTATACACCCAATGTGTGCACACTGCCGAAACGAAACGGCCATATGGAAAGCTACTGTCATAAATATGACTTAGAAACAATTGTTAGATTGTTAGAATTAGGATATCATTTTAAAAAGAGTCAAAACGCCATAGTGTACATTTAGAACACACACCTTATAACAGTACAGTTAATTATCAATGTACATGACTTGTGTGTACATACATGTATATGTACAGAAGTAACAGGAGAGTCAGCCTAACTAGAAAGTTTTTCTTTTCTTTTTCTCTGTGAAACGGAAGACACATTGATATCAACACCTTAGCCCTAGAATTTTGGTGAAATTTGCAATTGCATTTCAGCCACGGAAATCCGAAATGAAGAAAATTTTGAATAGTTGAAATAGGAGTCGGTGAGAGTGCAGTTAGAAAGTGTACATGTAGGGAGCCTGAAATTGTCCACATGTACCGGTATGTTGCTGTCATGGGTACACATAATAATGCGTGGCCCTTTTTACTACCATTCACCAAAATGTGGCTGACGACCCGCGTTTGCAGAGCAGGTAGTTTCCGTGCTTATTCAAATTCTGTGATCCATGAAACCGTAAACCCAAGTGTACCAGCAGCTGATTTTATATGTACATCGCCCGCTCCAGGGCCTTGACCTCGTAAGGCTTAGGGATGAGAGAGACCGAGGACAGACCCTCCAAGTCCACCTTGGCGTTCTCGGGCAGCTGGAAGCAGAATTTCTGGAGCAGCTTGCCCAGGAGAAGGAAGAGCTCTGACTTGGCCATGCCCTTGCCGAGACAGCTGCGCTGTCCCGTGGAGAAAGGCATGAAGTAGGGGAACTCGGACATGTTGCGCAGGTTGCCTTCTGAGTCCAAGAAACGCTCCGGCAGGAACTCGTGCGGCCGGTCCCACACTTTCTCGTCGTGGTGAACGGCCCAGAAGTTGGCCATGACTTGGGTTCCTATTGTAAAAATTTAAAAAAAACAACAAGACGAACCTAATTATTGAATACAGGGCAGTATTGACATCCTACTTTTAAAAAATAAAAAAGTTGCTCAGAAATTGCCAGAGACTTGTTAGGACCTCACTGCAAAATCCACCACTGTGCATCAAGTGATAACATGTGCAGGTATTACTTTTTGTGTATGGCGCCCTCTGTTGAGGGTAGTTTGGCATTCATGGTACCTAATTTACATCCCGGAACTTTCTGCCAATGAGTGGGCCTCACAATCTACTGGCCAATAGAGGGGGCTGTTATCAGAAGCTGTACACTCTCTGTGTTCATTGAATGTGATGTCTGAAAACATTTGAGTCTTCAGAAAAGTGAAATTGAATCAAGACAAAAAAAGAAATAATTAACTTAATAAATGAACGACAAATGTTAAGCATGAATTCTGAAGTATAGTTTTGAGTGATTGACAAGTTTACTGTTGCTATATATCATTGGATACAGTAGGGTGCCCAGATAATTTAACCTGGGTTAGGCTAAAAGATAAAATTATCCCTGAATTGTGAGTTAATTTAGGAAGGGAATGATCGTAGTTTAAGAGCAGTAGTTTTTTTTTTTATAGAAGACAATTTTTGTGCGTGTCTTGATTTTTTGACCAAATAGTCTGGTGGCTTCAATGTGCTTAATTATTTTGTAATGATCTCACTGATAGTGCTCAGGAAACTAGACCAAGATGGCAGAAGAGTCTCTCACCTTTAGGGATGTAGTAGCCCCGGACATTCGTGTCCACCGCGGCGGCGTGGGGAACCCCTAGGTTAGTCAGGGAACTGAACCGCATGATCTCATACACTGTAGCCTCTGTCCAAGAAAAAATAGATCAAGGAAAAATTGTTAATACTAGTGTACAATTTCAATTATATCAGTAGGTACATGTACACGTACAGTGTAATCTTTTTCTTGTGTCTTTTGTCAAAAACAAGTCTTTTGATTTTCTTTTTCCAATCTGCTTCAGTTGTGAGAAGGCCTTGGTCCGTAATGCCCGAGGTGAAATGGATTTTAACCGTTGTGTTATTTAAAGAAGGACCGTGTTTAATCCAGTATCCTTTCAAGGCGAAACGTATTGGAAGGATTGTTCAACAATTGAAATCCTTGTGGAAAAGTACGTCAACTTTGACCCTGGAAAGGAGACAGGTGTAGAAAAGCAGTGTGACAAAGTGCCTTGCTCAGGGACATTAACCCTAACTCACTATTAACATGATTTACTAGGAACCATACCAATCCTGGCAAATTCCAACACCATTATGGGAAACTGCACACACATATTTCTGACTTTGATTCTGGAGGTGTGCCAACCCAATGTAAAAGACTGACAGTTTAGGAGTACTGTACCCATCCTGACAGATTCCAACAAAACATGCTGTTGGGGTTTGAAAGGGTTGAGTTCTGTTAGGGTTAACCCTATTTAGTACCTGTACAACATTGTATTACATTGCATTACATTGCATTACATTGTATTACATTGTACATGTATTACATTGTATTACATTGCATAACATTGTATTACATTGTATTACATTGTATTACATTGTGATAAGACTTACCCAAGTATGGCAGCCTGGCTTTGCAGTTCAGCGTCAGCTGTCCCTCTTTCCCCAGTACCAGTTCAATCTCGTCGTGCACTTTAGCCTGCTTCTTGGGAAACGCTGCCATGTACAGCAAGCCCCATTGCAGGGCATTGGCTACTGTGTCAGTACCTGCACAAAAATGAAAGTAAAGAAGTTCCTTATGAATAGCAAAATATCATATTTACACTTTCTACCCATTCAGTAAAACATGCTTTTGACTCCAAATCTGACATGAGTTGAGAAGCACGTTGTAGGATTATGCACGCAGAAGTTTAACGAAAAATAACCAAAGTTAAAGTTCATGTAAGTTTTGAACCAGTTTGCCCAAGATTTCATGAGGAATTTGAAAACTGACATCCAATTTATTTTGATTTCGAATTTATTTGATTGATTTATTCGTCTGAACAATAGATTTCAGATATTATGTAAAAATGAACATAAAAGTTTAGATGGATAATGAAATCGTTTTTTGATGAAAATGACCATCACCCTGTTAATTTTTTTAAAATTTCATTCACTCTTTCTCCTTGTCAAAGTTTAAATACCGGTACCATGAAAATTGTTTCCCCTTTCTTGTGATGGTGATGGTGTTGACCCTGCTGATGGTGAACATAATGTGCGCACGTACTGTACATGAGATGTTTACCCACGAAGAATTTACACTTTAAGTGGGTGTAGTAACCTTACCATTAAACAATGACTCGGTGGAAGATTAGACAAGCTCATTTTTCAAGATACCGTGAACCTGATATCGTTGGTGGACTTACATGTACTGCTGCCTTGTCATTGCTAGATAGGGATACATTAGTTTGGTGTAAGACAGTTTTGAAATTGGACTCACCTGCGAAAAACATGAGCCACATGTTGATGATGATGTGCTCCGGTGTCAGTACGTTGAGGGAGTTGTCGTCTTTCTCCTGCACGGCCTGCTTGGCCGAGGCCAGCATTGCATCCAGCATGTCCCTGATCTCCCCGTCTTGGTACGTGGCCACGTGCTGAACGTACTTCCGCATCAGTAACCTGTCTCGCTGCTCCTTGGCCCTCAGCAAGCCCTCGAACCACTTATTGGGGAAGTGCCTTAACCAGGGCAAGGCGTTGACGGGGTGAATCGGGGACAGCACCTTTAAGATCTCGGCCGAGTAGTCCAGGATGTCGTGGAGCTCCGGATCAGTGTGCGAGTAGCGCTCCCCAAAGGAAATATTACAGAGGATGTTGAGGGAGGCCAGGTACAAGTCCTGGCAAGGATTGAAGGCCTTGCCGTGATAGTCCAGGATTTTATTGATGAGGCAGTCGGCCTCTTCGCTGATTTTCACCCCGAGGCTGCTGTTGTTGATAATCCGGAGAGCGCTGCGGCAAACTTTTGTGTGCAGCCGCCACTGCTTGGTGTCCTTACACGTCAGGAAGCCCTTATCCCCGACCAGGACGTCCATGCAGTAGATGTTGGGCCGGTGGGAGATGTCCAGTCCCTTGTAGGCCTCCTTGATGACCTCGCAGGTGTTGAGGATGACCACCCGCTGCGTGCCCAGCTTGATGCTGAAGATGTCGCCGTACTTCTTGGCCAGCTCCGCCAAGGAGAGGTGGGGCGCCTTGCAGTCGATGCTGAGTGCGTTCCCGATGAAGGGGATGGAGGGCGGGCCGGGCGGCATCCGCCGGATTGTATAGTCGTATTGTTCCTTGAGGTAGTACATGGCACAGAGTGCCGTGCCGCAGAGGGAGGCCGTGAGAATCATGCTGCCGTCTGGCGTCCGATAGCCCGGTCTCCACTCAAGTAGTCAGTCGATTTCCCCCTGGCCCTCCGAGGTAAGCCGAGTGTGTGGTTTAGATTATCTGCACAGCAAATGACAAGCCGGGAGAAAAGGAAGTTGGTTTTTGTAAACATTAATTGATGACACACTCGTGTTCAGCCTCTTTGCTGTGCTAGTCTTGACAGACTCACGCAGATAAAAAATCGCCGTCTTTTACCCAAATCCACCAGCATCGATTAGACTAGCCAGAAGGCAAAAGAACCCTTTGAATGTTCCCAGTGTAAACGTCCGTACGTGTAGCTGTTAGATTTGTCAAATGAGTGGTGAAAATGGAATGTGTACCATGTCTTACAAACAGTGGGTCGACGTATACAAATTCAAGGAAGAAGTAAATTGGAATAGGGGCATAGGGGAGTGGGGGAATGAAAAAAAAAAGAAAAAAAAGAGTACACCCACTTCGGCTTTGTGAAATGTAGGTCATGGACACACATGACTTCCTGTATTCTGGGATTTCAATCAAAGCCGACGGATGTTAACAAAAGCCAAACCTCAATCTGTGCATTTTTCCGTTTCATGATCGCCGATTGATGTAACAAGTGATTGACCACATCAGTCATAGAGTTGCCTGAAAATTTGGTGTCTACGTTTTATATTACTGTATTACACCAACAAGTAGTTGTACTACATGCAAGGTCAGTAAAATGACTGGGTAACCACAACTTATCCTGATTTGGGGTTTTTCCTAGTTAGTCAAGCCGTCAGGTATTCCCATGAAACAGACTGTGTGTGTAAAATACTGTTTACGTCCTGTTGGCCCCGAAACAGCTTTTTTTTTATCTTGGATTTTGGTGGGTTTTTTTTTTTTTTTTTATCTACGGACAACCTAGTTTCTTCTTGGACTTGTATGCTCATGGGAGTCTGTGTCACTCCAATACGGCTTCAGAAACGGGAAATCAAACATTACATGTTGACAAGTCGACCACTGGCACGCCACAAAAAAAAAATCATCAAACTCAAACAATTTGGCTGGCTGTGGATAATTCAATAACAGTCGCCATGGTTATTGGGCAGATACCGTAATCCTTGAGAAAACACTTTAATCCTAGGATATCCTCGAAGAGCCATCAAAATATGTTGTGAGCAATCACGGGTTATGTTGGAAACGGCGTTGCTCTTTTCTTTTTAAGTGTCTCATAAAATGAATTTGTTCTTTTTTTCACACAAGTGTGTATTTGGAGTGAAAAAAAACCCCTTTTTTTTTAAATTTCAGCCTCACTATTGATTAGTCGTAACGGTCTCCCACAAACCAGAAAAAGAAATGAACAGTTATGAAAAAGCTGGCAATTTCAATCAAATTGACAACCTTTAAAAAAAAAATCAATTCGTAAAAGAAAAAAAAAACATTTCGGTCATCAATAGCTATTAATTATCAAAGTACCTGTACAGATATTCAGGCATGCAACTTGGAAGAAACAAAAAAACGAGGAAACTCCAACCTTTACAAGACTTTGTACAGTGTTTTTCAATATTTTATGGCGTGAGTGTGAAGTGAAAAACGAGGAAATCAGCTGATCCGAGGAAAAGTTGCATGCCTGGGATATTCATTAGTACATTTGAATTGTTGCGTAAATCCTCACTCAGTTGTCAGTACCTTAGATGTTGACAACTTTGTAACAGACTAAATGTGGGTTACCAACAGTTACAGGCATGACAGGATTGGTGCATCTGAGCAGAAATACATGCATAGCTCAGAAATCCCATAATATCAACGCTACAGTGCTCACTTTAACAAATTGTGGCAAACCGAGTCGTCACCAACATATACATTGTATACCTGTGTGCATCATGTTGCTACCCACACGTATTGTATCTATTGTACTCACATGTCCTGTCACTGGATCGAGCGTGGCGAGCTGCGCGTGCACACACCACACACACTCACATAGTCTGTGTCACTGCACTGGGGTAACTTGCACACGTGTGTGTACTGCACTATTAAAAATCCCACACATCCAAAGTCCCATTAAAACCTCGCACAGTATAGTGTTAGTGAATCACCATGTGCGAGTATACAGTGTTGCTAACACGGACAGCATGGTACCGATGTGCAACAGTGGAGCATCACACGTACCAATGGCCCAGGATGGACACCCATAGCCCTTTATATACATGTACACCCCCTCCAAAACTTGTACCCATTTGCACAGATTGATTTGCTGCCACACTCTGTGTACACCCGCCTTTGTTCCCCGATACCTTGATTCCGTGTTTCTAGATCATTGACTAGGCTGAATTGGGTCATGCATTGGCTCTTCCCCCATTATTGGCCATTCAAGGGGGTCACGGGGGTATCATTTCTGCCCTCGTTTTTTTTCCCTCCCCAAAGAGGGGGGGGGGGGTGTTCATTTATGTACAGTGACTCAATTACCCCAATGAGTGGCATGTATAACAGCGTGTGTGTATGTTTTTAAGCTAAACGGTTCCAGTGACTGAGAGTTTACCTTTGATCTATTGGATGGGTGACACTTGACTACTGGCCTATCGTCACTGACAAGCATGCCCGGGCCCACCCTGCATATGCTTAAACATACATGAACGTCCCACCACCACCAACACTACATTACATAGTACCACCCATATCCCAAATTACACATCTCGGATGGGCAGGCTAAAAAAAAAAAGAAAAAAAAAAAGACTTATCTCTGATATTGTTATAATAACCTTTTTACTATTGGTTTGGCACTGCGTTCCCTATCAGGAGACAAGGGACACTAGCGACCGGTACCCGGCCAATGGCAGTATAAGTCCAGCCCAATGCACCATTTTGGCACCAGATCTCATCACTTGATCGACCAATCAGAGGTGCCCCGGTTGACACCACCTGTTTTCATATTTCACATTTCAGGACCTCATGTAGGCTATAAAGCCTCCATTGTTCACACCCCCGTTTTGCCACTTTCATCAGAATTCTATTTTTTTTTTTTGCCTCACCAAATCAATCATACCTTAACCTAGTTGTATCTTCTTAACAAGGTTACAGCAATCAGCTTTGATGGTCTGGCATGATTTTATTTTACACTTTCTTTCTGAGCAATTTTACTGTGGAAAACTTGGATGTGTTCTTGATAAAACTGCATGCATACATTTTGCCATAACTTCTTTTGTCTCCAAAACTTAATTATTTTGTCCTGGTGGAAAACTTCACAGCTTTTATCACTAATTAACACCAAATACCGTTTTAACCTGCACCAAATGGAACAACCCTGCTGTTTTATTAGTGTTGAGAAATCAATTTCTCCCCCCCCCCTGTTTTCCCTTTCTACTGAATAACCATCTGAAAAAAGCACTCTCAAGGTTATTGGGATTGGAGTTCAGTAGTCGTGTGGTCATAGAACTCTGCCACGCAGACTTGTTGGCACCCGCTCCGTTCAGAATGTTTGTTTGTACCATTGTGTGTGAGAAACTGTACAAAAAGCTACGGTGCAGTTTTCTCCCCATTTTGCATGCCATTAGCAGCACCGATGTCGGTGGTAGCAGGGAAAAAAAGTTGCAAAAAGAAAGAAGAAAAAGAGGAAAGAAAACTAGAGCACAACGGACACAGGTCTGACAAATGGGTCCGGTAATATATATCCCCTGAACAAACCAAAAAATATATTTTGTTTACCATATTTTTGTCCCATTTTGGGTCAAAGAGTATTTTACTTTTGTAGCTTATTTTTTTTAAGCTTCACCCAATGTCTATGGAAGTCTTAAATGCTCTAATGTGAAACTTGTCCAGAGATTAAACTTTTTTTTCTTCAATTTTTTTTTTTTTTTTTTGGAGAATGGCCCTCTCCTCGTTTCAGACCACACGCTGAGCTGGCTTCCGGTGAGAAATTAATTTGATATAATAACCTGCACTGCTTTTCATAATTCACAATGCAGTCTGCACAATCAAATTTAATAGTCAAACCAAATCCCAGTGATAGAACTTCCTTTCAGTGCCGTCATTAACTCTAAAGCCACTTTAAATTGCCCTGCTTCACATAAACTGGCACCCGTCAACAATGTGCAACATTAAGTTAGCTTCCACCACGGCAAAAAAGTAATAGTTCAGTTAGCTACGAGTTCCGCTATTGTCCCGCCGAAATATTGTTCAGGTTATTTTTTGTTCTTTTTTCGCTCGTTCTCTCTAGCTCTCTCTCTACCCCCACGGCAAAGTTGGTTTTTCCCCATTCAGGCCCGACTCTGTAAATGTACCTCCGTGAATGGCCAGAAAATAGAATTGATGAAAGAACCCGTCTTCGGAAACACTGCATTGTAAAGAGACGTGCCCGTGGGGCTGTTGCGTGGCCCAATTTCCCGAACCGTACCGTGTCAAAGACCCTTCGGCCTAGTTTAATCGGAGTTTCTGCCTTGCCAACAAGGAGCTCGCAACAACAACAGAAAATAAAGGGGGAAAAAAGTTTGCGTGCAGTGTTGTCACGGAACAGTATAGTGGATATTGAGGTTATGCAACTCTGCACTGGCAGAATGTACATGTACAATCAAATAATTAGGTATTAAAATTGTGAAGAAGAAAGGGATGTTGAAGTTTTTTTTCTTTTTCAGTGACTGCATACATGTATGTAGGCCCTATATATGCAGAGAGTTACTCAAAAGTCAGCCACTGTCTTCACAAAAAGCATATACCAAGCATATTTAGTGATTGTTACATATGAACTACATGCACACACAGCATAATTTTTTTTCCAAGACACTTTTTAAAAGGCCGACTATTTGATAATCATACAAGTGATATAGTACACTTTCAAGTTTAACAAATGTAATCTTGTGAAATTACATTTACTTGAACTGAACACATAATTTTCTGATGATTTTGCATTTAATCATGAATCGTTGTTTTTTTTAAAAGAAAAACAATAAAGTGTTACTCATTTAATATTAACTTTATTATAAGCAAGTAACAAATAGAAGTCGGTTCCTCAAAAAATGAGAACAAATCATGAGACAAAATTTTCAAATTTTTAAATCAGGAATATGAGTAGGAACTTACCGAGTGCGATTGATTGTTAACAGATGATCTGTTACAGACGAGTCTTCAGTATAATGCGTAAAGTAGTGACAAATTATCAAAATACTATGGCAACGGTGAACCAGCACCAACACGTCCGTGTACAAAAATAGACAAAAACTGTCGTGTTTCCTGAACGGAGGCGATCCAGCGCCTAGCGACCAGCGCTATAGCGACCAGCGCTATGGTAAAAAAAAATTGGCAACCGGTGCCGCGAAAATGCCTTCTATCCTCTCTTCACAAGAGCATCGTAAGAACTACCGGAGAACGGTCCCCCTACCCTGTTTATATACCCTGCTCTTCTTATTCCCAAGGGATGAAAACCAGGTCAGGCAACACTGTATGCCTGTTGGGTAAAGCACAGCGCGTAATTACCCTTAACGGTAATATGGCGGAGTTGTACAGTATAAAAGTCATCGGGGGAAACTGTTTAAAAGGATATTAAGAGAGCCCAGTTTTGTGTTTACGCGATGTGGTTTGGCGTATGAGAAATGCTATTTGGGGCATGTCGGCCGCTCAAGTGTTTGTGAGTATCTCTCGCTTCTGGCTTAATTAAACTGCGATATTAGCAGATGGAAAGTACATGGGAATGGAAGTGGGATAGAACCTCAGTCAGGCGAGGGCGTTTAGTCATCGCTTCACCTGGATTAACCGAAGGCACTGGGTGATTTCTAGTAATGCGGAGGAGTTAGGAGAACCTACGTGTGTCATACGTGCACATGTGTAGCCAGAGGGGTGTCGGGGTGTCAGGGTGTCTGTTGGGCACCGTAAGGGCTAAGTTAAGGCAATTTATTTTTTGTCAAGCAAAATGTACACAATGTGCGTTAATAGCATAAAACGTAAGCAACTTTGTTCCGTTTTTTTTCCAATTTGAGATTGGGGTATGTTTTTGGCAATCTATGTTTTTTTGCCAAGCAAAATGTACACCTGTACAGTTATAGAATAAAACGTAAGCAACTTGGATGCTCGGTTTTGTTTTTTTCAATTCGAGACAACTTTTACATCCAGTCATCTTAAGCTTATTAAAACCCTCATTGTAAAGAGTGCAAGCTCAGAAACGGCTTTTGTCTTAAAAAGGGGAAACCAAGTTTGGAACCAAAAAAACATTGAGAACAAAAAATATCTCAGTGCACATGAGAAAGTTTGCATCAAATCAAGTAAGTCGGAAACTGTTTTATGGATACATTAACAGCAGAAAGCTTGCACTGAAAAAGTTTTTGCGAGGCGAATTGATGAAAGCGTAGTTTACTCCAGACATGACAAGGAACAATTGTACCATTCTTTTTTTAGATTCCAGCAATTTGAACAATTTACATTCCAGTAACTTGTCAAAGCAGGGGAAAAAAAGCTACAAGATATCACACGGATGTACAAGTATGTTGTTAATTTCTGGCTTGTGATATTCAAGTTTCCCATAGCATTTCATCTCCAGTTGTCTCCAAAAGCACATTACGTGTATAAGATTGCATCTGTAGGCTACAGGTACATGAGGCATACCATTTTTCAAACACAGCTTGGGTACAGTTTTTGCCGTCTTTTGACTGAAAACTTTCAACTTGTGTACTTGCCACAAACACGCACAATTTTCCTCGGATCAGCCGCTTTCCTCGCTTTTTCATTTCGCACTTATGCCATTAAAAACTGAGAAACACTGTAAAAAAAAAAAAAGGTGTGAAGATTGGAATGTTCTCTTACCTTGACTGTTAAATGCTGCTTCTTTGCTTTGCTTGATGTCTTTGGAGTCTGAAGTGAAACTTGAAATGGGTGGATCAGGCAATCTCCAAGATCAAGGCAACTGGACGCAGGGTAGCATCTGTGGAGAAAAAGAAAAAAACAAGACAAATAAGTCGTTTTGAACTTGACAATTTCAGAAGGATTTTTTTGGGGAGGGGGGGGGGGGGGATTAGGGAAGGCGAGTTACAAATTTACATGTACATGCAGATGGAAATTGGTCTGTTACAGTTTCTTGATCCGAGAAAGCGAAACATTCCGACATGTAGCTTGGGGGTCTGGTGCTCGCACATTCTGGAACATTCACCGTAATTGAATGAGAGACGGAACGATGTTTGTTGGAACGATGATGGATACAAAAACACTTTGAACCGGACATGCCTGTAACCCACCGGTAGCAGGTAATTAGAGGGTGCGTTACCGAGAAAGTTGTTGTCAAAGTCCGGAATGAAGCAAGAAGGGAGCGAGTCTTTTGACTTTGGCCGTCGCTTGTACAAGTACCTACCTGCAACGGACTTCGGTGACGGAAGGACAAAGTTTGGCACGACATCGGTTTTGGGAGAAAAAGAAGCGATGTTGCTCGTCTGTCAGCGCCGGGCAAAGTGACCAAACTCGGGACGAGCAGGGTCCTTAAATACTCTCTGCCCCGATTAGAGGGTGCCTAGTCATAATTGACACGCCAACTTTTATTTGCACTCCGCTGAACATCGGGACATCCACCCACATACGCTGGGTGCCTTTTCAGGCCCTGCCATTGGCCCATTTTTCTTCTTTTTGTTCGCAGTCATCAAAGGATGGCTGTATGAAATGGGCCATGGGCCGGCAACGGGGGCGTTGCCTCAGTGCCCCATTTTCTCCCCCCCCCCCACTTGTCTGTTATGTCACCGTTTCCCAGTAAAGTTTGAGTGAGGGCGCTATCTGTTTCAGAACCAGTTTGCAATCGCGTGTCGGTGGTCGCATCAGCTTAACTGTTGGAGTTCCGAAAAAGAAAAGAACAAGACCCACTTTTACCATTGTTGGTGGGGCTGGTGACTCCAAAATGGACCGCTACCCAGGAGAAGCCTGGGTGTGACTTGGTGGCCCACTTAATCCCTCTCCCCGTCCCCCTGTACCAAAACTGGGTACAGGGTGCTTGCAGTTAACCAGTTTCAAGTACAGGACCATAACATACAGATCTCGGCCAAATGACATGAATCATCGTCATGCGAATCTAACCCAAATCTGTAGCCGCAGGGTATAATGAACGGATAGTGAGATGTATCTTTTAGATTATGGATGACGACAAACGCACACGTATGCATGCACATGTCACTGTAATAATAACCCAGATTACGGATCTCACGTGAACGCAACCACAAATCCATGTACATGTCTACATCTACTTATAATTAGCATTGACAAGTTGAATGTATTGGCACCCAAGGAATAACCTTCCTTAGAATTTACTCCCTTTAGATACCGTAGGTTACCGGGGACAAAAGTCTAAAATCCTGCCAAAATGCAACACTAATCCATGGGGATACAGCCTTACGTGAAGAAACACAGATGGTCTTCTTTACAGTCCTGCATCCTTTGAATTCCAGAAAGACTTCAGTGTAGATTTTGATGGAATCGGGATAATGAGGTTTCAGTAGAGAAAGTGCACATGTACATGTACATCGGTGTAAACAGGTAGCCTATATCATAAGCATATAAAGTATATGCCTGTGCTGAAGATAGAAAACTGATGTACTTTGCAACTTCTGAAAGCAGAGTTCTTCTTTTATATTCCTCACCTCGACAGCTTTTTTGGCCAGCACCCAAAAACAGGGCATTCGCCGAGTTCCAGTTCTCACCGAGATTTGGAACACTTTTCTTTGCTGTTTGTCAGTTGCACTTCAGCAATTCCCGCATTGTCGTCATCCCGGTAAACTTTACATCCTCTTTTTTTTTTGTGTGATAAAGAGGAACCCTTTTTCCCCTGAAATGGGACACAACAGTAGGACGCGCCAGGATTAGTTTGACGTCAGAGGGTGTTTTTTTCCCTCCCTGATCGGTGGCTGATTTGGTTGGTGCTATTGTTGAGTGAGCAGCCATTCGTAGCAAAACGGGACAAGGCTATCTAATACACACGCACACATACACACACACACCGGTCGACTTGCAGAGATTTGGGGGGCTGACAATACATAATGCGGGTTATTGGGACAGGCTAGGTAAACCATGTGTAAAAAACCTTGCTCCCTTTTCACTCCGGTGTTAATAATAGGCCTTTTTTGGATATTTTTCTTGATGGGTCAGAATGAAAGTAGATCAGCATCCGCCAAAATTCCGGAATTGAAGCTGAGGGCCTATAAACCCCATTTCCTTGGTTCTCTTTTGACTTTTCTGATCTGAAAGAACTCAACTAGATCACCCTCCTCCACAGTCTCGGATTAAATCTGAGGGCCTATAAACCCGATAACCTTGATCCTCTTTTGATTTTTTCTGATCTGAAAGAACTGAACTAGATCACCTTCATCCAGTCTCAAATTGAATCTGAACTCTATAAACCCCAATTTCTGGGTCCTCTGTTGATATTTTCTGATCTGAAAGAACTATAGATCACCCTCCTCCACCATCCCGGTTTGAAGCCAAGGGCATATTCCTTGTTGCTGTTCTTCTAATTTTGGGAGTTTGCACGTATAGTACCTAACCTACATGTAACAGGCTGACACTTAATCGTTTCATTAGTACAACAATCTCTGCTCAATTTCATAGAGCTATGCTTTAAAAAAAAAATTGCTTGACCAAATTTTGCGCTAAGCATAAATCAGCTGGGCACCAGTTACAAGTAATATACATGATATGACATTTAACTGGTAACCCATGCTTGGTGAGCATTTTCTTGTGCTTTCTTAGCAAATTTCTGTGCTTAAAGGTAAAATGCGGATGCTGAATTCAAAACATGACTTGGCAACTTTTGAATTGAAATTGAGATCCTAGAATATGGTTTTCTCAAAGTATACAGCATTCGCTGAGCTAAAACTTCATCAGGTTAGTTGTTAAGCACCCGTCTTTGGATTTTAGGCACTTTTGTTGCTTCAAACGAAAAAAAATGCACAAATCGTATAATCTACAATGTACTTTTAAATACAGGTAAACACTGTGCACTCTTGCCTCAATTTGATCTGCAACAAATGTACTTTGTAAAATAAGTATTGTTGGACAGGGCTGTCAAAAAGTAGAATACAATGATTTGCAAAAACAACTTGTGGAATGTTTCCCTTTGTCTTAAATTACTGAGTGAATGAATTATTGGCATCGTTACAAAAAACTGTATGTTGGCTAGTCTTATTTCCAGCCGCAGAGTTCCCCCGCAGTCATTATCTACATGCTGTATGTAAAGTTATATTCTACTTAATAGTGTGGAACCTCGCTTCAAGTATGAGCACTGTTGTAGACTATATTGGCATAACTTTGGTACCAGTCTGAGTGCTTTTAATAATTGCAGTTTTCAATTTTTTTAATGTATATTTCTTCAAAGTCTTAATTAAAAAGGACAAGCGAACAACAAACAAAAACATTCTTTATAAACTTTTAATCTTCTTGAATTGAATTTGAATCACCATTGTCCTAATCAGCCCTGTTTAGTTTTTAGTTGTCAAGGTTCGTGTTTGATTGTACACCCTTTATTCTTTTTACCCCATTGGATTATCTCCAATGACGATAGCAGATTCTTGGTGAAATGACCTAATTCTTCATCCCACATTCAGGAGCGTTAGGGGGTAGCCCTGATGTTGTTGGCATGCGTGCATTCACCATTGTCATAAGTGGGTTGATATATATTCTGTTGGGCTTTCATGATGTTGGGGCTTAACCCATATCTCCCTGTGTGTGTATACCTTTGTGCCCATTGATTTATTACAGGTTCTATGAGTATTATACGATGTATGGTAACAATAGGTGCGGTCGTGACACGCTCGCTTGTGGAAATTCCGAAACCCAATAAAAACAAAGCAACAAGCGGGCAGCAACGATCGTAGTATCAAAACTGGGTCAGCGTAAACAAGACTGATAAAAAAAAAGAGAAAGGGGTGAAAAAAAAAAAGAATTGGGACAATGTATCTGGTTTTGAAGGTTAATTTGCCGGAATTGTGTTACCCTATTGCGCTCAGCTTGAAGTCTTTCTGATTTTCGTTGCTGTCGTTACCCTTGTGCTATGCGCGCACCCACTTAATAGGTTGTGGTGTGAGTTTCCAGTCGCGCGCGCTCAGCCACACCACGTGGCGCGAAAAAAAAAAAACACGGTGGGTCCCCCCCGTATAAATGCGTTATCCTCTTTTCCCGGTCATGTCACAGCTGGGTAATCGGATCAAAATTGGGAATATTGCCCAATTTTTATTTTCTATGGGTGTGTGTTTGCTCGACCCAGTTTTCTTCATTGCCCTATTCACCAGGGGTGCATTTTATCGCCCCTTTAGGGGAACATTGGGTACGCGTCTATAGTCCCCCCCCCCCCCCCCTCTTTGCACCCCAGAACTAGGACAGGGTACACAGAGGGACCGAGGAACGTGAATTGGCCACTCCAGCATGATCAGCTGGCGTGCAATCCAAAAATAATCTCAGAATAGTGAGACACAAGTGGGTGTTAGATACAGGTCAGCCCAAATCAGCCAAAAAAAGTTAGATCGCAAAACACGAACCGTCTGCCACGAAACTATACGCTCGGAAAAAAAACACCTAGATATACCTTGATCAAATATTTGCGCAGTGGTAACGTTTTAACCTTGTACAGGAATTACCGGTATTCCCTCAAGTAGGATTTCTAGGTGAACAGACCTGCAGAGATCGACATTTTTGTTGAAGAAATTGCACGTCTGTTGATTTGAAATAAATCCAGGCCACACTCACTCAAAGTTTATTAGATAAACATTGGACCTCAATTTTTTTTTATTGTGAAAATGAATAAAACTGCTGCATAACTGCTAACTGACAGATTTGACCTGAAATATCGACCAATCAAGAAAATTAGAGGGTCTATTACTTTCAGATCCTGAGCAGGACCCTTCTCATTGGCCCCCCCAAAAATGAAAAATTATTGTGTACACTGTACTAGATTGTGTCCTGGCACACACAGTTGTGTTTTACTATACTGTCGAGGACAATGCTTTGTCTTTTCCTTTGTCCCTGTAATATAACACTCTCCCATAGACTAAGCACACAAACGCACAACCGAGGACCGATTTCAACAAAAGATGAACTCTCGAGGACAACAAAGAATCTGTTGTTCTCCCTTTGTCTGTCTGTCCTCGGGGTGTACATGTATGTTCACGTACACGTGTACATGTACTACATTACTCTACCAGTACAGGGTACTGTGCGTGCTATGCAAGCTCAGGCTTAATAGCATACTTTGAAGTTACAAAATGTAGTAGACCCTTCTCATAGACAGCCATCTTCGTAGGAAAATGCGTATTCAACGCCATCACGTGTGTGTGATCTGATACACCGTGCCCTCTGGAGACGTGTGTACAATAGGGAACAAAAGATTGTATACATCTCCACAGGACAATTTCCATAGATGAATGCGTCTCCACAAGATTTTCACAAAATAGATATGGATTTTACTCAAAAACTAGGAATTTCCAAGGTGGGTTGATCTGTCGCAAATAGAAGAGTTTTAGAAAAGGGATATTTAGTCCAAATTTTAGTTAAAATAAGAGCATTTTGAAACTTCACTTTCAAACTCGAAAACTTTACTACACGAGAACAAAGAAATTTTCAAATACAAATTTCAGAATGTGTGTGTGCGCAGTGTGCAAAATGTTCTAAACACACACGCATGTTACTCAAAATTTCTTTGCAATACGGCACAGCCGATGCGCGTCACAAAAATTCGACTCCCAAAAATGACGACGCACGCGACAATCTGTAGGCAGTGACAGCATTTAAGAGATATCTAAATTGTGCTCCACGCAGGATTATACATTTAATGTACCTGTTGATTGTTGTTGAGCCTGAGATTCAGCATCTTTAGAATATTGACTTGGATGACATAACAACATTGCAGATATTAGTCCAAAAGCACCCCTCGCATCAGTATTTCCTCATGTTGCATCCTGCACCCATTTACATTTATACCGGTACCTATTAAAGTTGGCAATTGCCAATACTGGGATCGCGTATCCCATGTAAAAAAAAAAAAAAACCACGTACATGTAACCCTTCATGCATTTTAGACTTTGACCGCGTTTAGCAGTAAAGTACGGCAATTTGGGTAAAGATTCCGGCATCGGATCGGGAAAACAAAAAGTGTCAATTGGGTTTTAATAGCGCCTCGGAGAATGGGCAAAGGAACACAGTTTGTGCACCTGGCCGTCAAATTTGGGTTAATTGCGGACCGCTAGAGATGCCTATCTCTTTAGATTGGCATCGTGTGTGCGTGCGTGGAACTGTTATCCCCCCTGGATTTTTTAGGGTACTATAGATCGACATTTATACAAATTTAAAAAAGAAAGGCCCTCCATGCAATTTAAATCAACAATTGTGAAGATTTTCTTTGCAGGTAGTTATTTCTGGTTTTCAGATGATATTTACTGCTCATTAAAATGTTGATTGAATTTTGTTCCCTTTAAATTCACACAATTAATTTTCATGCGTTACGAATCCACATATTGTACATCGGTTACATTTGCATGGTTTGTGGTAAATGTCTTATTTCCAGTTGATACTGACCTAATGTTGACGTGCATATTGATTAGCTGACGCGATTATTGATTTTACTGACAATACACTGACAGTGATAAAC